GAAGTAGTAAAGGGGAACAGACTCCCACTCCCATTATCACTGTTAGCAGGACATTAGCTGATAAGTGCCGTTCAAAAGAGGGCAGGAGAGATTCAATCAATAGAAACGACTCTTTGCTGATTCTCTTATTAATCCAAAAAGAAACTGCGGAGTCTTTTGAGAAGGAGGGGAGTCATGATGCTTCAGGTCAATTGCCTCTTTTCACTTAGCATATGATTAGCTAAATGATAATGCACCTCAGGGTGGAGTGTTAGCCTGATAAATGGTTTGAAGTTGTTCCTACCTTGTGAGAAGAGAATTAGCTTTTTGAGTAGAAAAAGTTAAGTTCCAGGACGAGGACAGTTTTTTCACTCCTGAGATTTTAAAGGTCACCAATTATGCAAAATCTGCTTCTTCATGTCTCTTCTACATCAACATGTGTCCCCTCTTCTTCATGTCTCTTCTACATCAACATGTGTCCCCTCTTCTTCATGTCTCTTCTACACCAACATGTGTCCCCTCTTCTTCATGTCTCTTCTACACCAACATGTGTCCCATCTGTGTAAAGAGACTCTGAAAGTTTTATTAAAAAAGATTCTCTCTCTTTTTGTTCCATTTCTATAAAAACCTGTCTGATAATGAGCTGATCAGATTTTGGCCACTTTATGATGTCATAACGATGTTTTGTCTTGTGTAACCATTAGCCAATCACAACCAAGGTAACACCCCCCCCCTTATCACTAGAGCACTATTGAATTCTTTGTAACCAAATGTCTCTCAGAGGGGCGTGGGGAGGGGCTCCTTATTTTAATCTAAAGTAAGAGACAGAGAATCAGCACTTTGGAAACAGGGCTGAAACAGAGGGGATTATGGGTAATGCTGCAATGATCTGTTTGGTGTTCCAGCCAATCAGAGACAGGTTCTGTATATATCTGAGACCTGTGATATATTGATGAAAAAAGAGTATACTAGGGGACCTTTAACACTTTTTGTTCACAGCTTTGCTCTAGAAATGCACATGTACTATAGATCAGGGGTGTCAAACTCAAGGCCCGGGGGCCAAATCCGGCCCGCGACTTTATTTAATGTGGCCTGCAAGAGCTCTGAAAGAATATAATACATTTATTATACGGTTACATGCCACTTTACAGAAGTACGTTGCCCATAAACTGTCCCACAATGCATCTCGTTTTGTGACATGCGCCCTGAAGAGACCTGGACTTCTGCTTTCAGACGTAGTTTATTATGTCATTACCCTATCCGATAATAATCCAATGCTGAGGCAATAATGTAATATAATACATTATTTGATATATATTATATATTTATATGTGTATAAATTATATAGTTACAACCGGCCCTTTGAGTGCAACCATAATGCTAATGTGGCCCACGATGAAATTGAGTTTGACACCCCTGATACTGTATCTCACCTGCAACCCAACGGGCTAACACTGAAAAGAATGTCTGTGCTGTTCTTTGTACGAACTCTATTTACACTTGAGAGTTCAGACAAAGGACACGAGCTTTGAGTCTCTATGTGTTGCTCACAGGAACACCTGCGTACTCAGGTGACGCAGGAAGAGATGGTGACGCTTCGGGCCTCGGGGCTGTGATGATGCTGTCTGCATCAAGTGTTGAACTTTTAAATCTTGCTGTGAATTATATGCTAAATATCAGATGGCCTTTTTATAATGTTCTTCTTGCTAATTAGGGATGATGCCAGCTCTTCAAATGTCACACAGCCAAACCTATGTCTCATCCAGCTCAGAGAGATCTGTGTGAAGGGCAGTTTGGTTACCTGTTGTTGGCAACTGAGCAATTTAAAGTTGACTTTTAAAGTGATACGAAATAAATACTCATTCTAGACTTGGAAGATTGCAGGTTGCTCCTTTGCAAAGAACAGCATCTAGTTCGATTGACCTCCTGTCTCTTATTAGATTAGATTAAACGTTATTGTCATTGCACAGAGGACAACGAAATGCGTCCTAAGAAGTTAAACGTCCCTGAGTGTGAGGCGCTGTGGGTTTGAGCCCTGTGACATTGAAAGGGGAGTGTGGTGGTGGACTTGTTCTTACTTACTCAACACCCACCAATTACAAAGGATCCCTCTCAAAGTGCTTCCTTTGGAGTGTGTCGATGTGCTGAGGGTGAAGTGTTGTTGATGCAGCAGCCATTGAACTAACAGACTTGTGTGTGTTCTCCTCAGAACTGTTACAGGATGTGTATTTTGTAAATTGTGTCATTTTTATTATTATTTTTTTATCTTTAATATTTTGTATGCAACAACATTAAAGGGGACCTGTCATGCAAAATGCACTTTTTGATGTCTTTCATACATCCATATGTGTCCCCAGTGTGTCGGGGAACTCACGCAGCGTCAGAAAATAAAACCTTCTCTCTTTTCCTCCGTACCCAAATCTCTAAAAACGGGGGAACAACGGAGCTGATCCAGATTTGCGTCCGATATGACGTCATATCTGAAATGTGGACCCACACAGATATGACGTCATATCGGACGCAAATCTGGATCAGCTCCGTTGTTCCCCCGTTTTTAGAGATTTGGGTACGGAGGAAAAGAGA